GAGCACGTAGAGACTGCGTCCTCATTACAGTTTGGAGTTTGATGGTTTGAAGGTGTTACCATACTTGCCCCTGGGGTGACAGCCTCTGTCCAAAGCTACTTTTGGATGCAAAACAGGACTGCAGCCCTCAAAGAACTTGCAAAAGTCCTTTGTCGAAAAAGAAAAGCAAGATGGAAGTAACAAAATCAATCATCCAATGGAAAAAAAGAAAGCACTGCTTGGTTCGTATGCTCCAGACCTTCTTCAGTCTTCATGACTTCTGCACTAACACAGAATGTGAGATGGGGCTGAAGGAGGAACTGGAGCTCAGAGCCACTCCTTATGCCCAAAAGACAGCCACCAGCTCAACAGGCTCAACACGAGCAAACTGTGGGACCTGAGAAAACACTTACACACTTCCTGCACTGAAACAAATCTCAAAGCCGTACACACAGAGCAGCTCAACGACACCTCTGGGGTTCGTTACCAACTGGCAGCAGGCAGGGAGCTGGGTGGGGGGAAGCAAAAGACCGTGTAAAAAATAGGAAGTCAGCAACAGGAAAGCGGGTGTGCGCTCAGCAGCAGCGTTGAGCTGATGGGTATGGGTACAAGGAACAAAACGCTGCGTCGAAGCCGCCTGATAAAGGCAGAGCAGCGCGACTGACGGCACCGACAGCTCTGAGCATCTCAGGAAAACATCGAGTCGATGCAGGGCACAGAACCGTGTGCGATTAAAAGCAGCAATACCCACGGGAGGATGGTGTGTGTGTGGGGGGGTGGATCGCATTTTGCAGCGCGTTTTCTAGCTCGGAGCTGAGCCCAGCATGGAGGCCTGGGATTGAGGGGAAGGGAGGGAAAGGGGGGGGTGGGGGGGGTGCGGGAGGGCAGCGCGGCGAGAGCGGGCGCCCCCCAGCCGTGCCAGGGCCGGCGCTGCATGGCGCTGCTCAGCCTGCCTTGCAGAGGGAGCTCGAGTCCCGCTCTGCGCCTCGCAGCGCCTCTCCCTCCGCAGCGCACACGGCGGCAGCGCAGCGAGGTGACGGCAAGGCAGGGCTGCGGGACGGAGCGGGCCGAGAAAAAAAAAAAAAA